AAAAAAAAAAAAAAAAAAAAAAAAAAAAAAAAAACAAACAAACAAACAAACAAACAAACAAACAAACAAACAAACATGGTGACGTTCCGGGACAAAAGAATGTGGAGGATATGGCACATGGGACTTCACAAGACGGCATCATCTTCAAGCAATGAGTTGCACAAGCAGCTAAGAAGGGCTGCATGTCCTGTGCAATACGACATCCAGGGGCTGAATGTCAGTCTTACCGTGACCATCAATCAGCAAACAAGACACTCAACAACTGCCGCTCAGCAACTACCCCTAATGACTGGCAGTTCCCAGATCGTTGCGTCGCTCTTGTGCTTCATGAGATACGATGCTCGGCATAGTCTGCAGGCGTCATCAACCAACGCTGAGTACATTGTACATCCGTTGTACATTCATATGGCCGATCCTCACTACCCATCCACCAAACACGATTTCCGCTCGGCATTGCACTCTCGTCCCCACGGAACAGAAGTACACAGCCAGCAGCTCCACGGAACAGAAGTACACACCCAGCAGATTGACGGTCAGCAGCCTGCACACCAGCCACCCGGCAAGGCAAGCATTTGCTGACGCCAGTGTTCAGAGAAGACCTCAACCTGGATGATTATAGGTCTTCCCCTTAGCCCTAATGGCCTACACCATGCATGCGACTTTGCAAACGATTGAATACGACATGAGATGAGATGAACACAGGCCTTCAGAAACAGCGTCCACACACTGAACGAATGACTAGCGATCTCCCCAAAACCCTAAGCCATGAATGAGAGCTTGCTGCCCAGGGGCATTCCAGCCCACATGAATGGTTGAGCTTTGCCATCGAACTTCAGTGTTCGAACTTAATTTCATTGAGCGATGAGCGAGCGCTCTTCCAAATGAAATATGGCGTGAGGCGAACGCTGGTTAGCAGAGGACACCCTCAATCAGGTTCTTGGTGTTTCCGACTTCCCTGTCATCCAGCAAAACTCCACTAGCCAGCTTCATCCCTAAAATGGGAGTTCAAGAACTCAGACACTGCAACCAGCTCAGCTGCAAAACAAGTTCTTCAGCCTCTGTTCATCACATCAACCCAAATCCTTCTGCATCATTGATAGCCATCAGCAGCCTTTCCTTCAGCTTATCTGCGCTGCAGTACTCCGGCAGCAAAAGATGGTTGAAGCAAGTGTGAGCTGTAGGCAGGCGATCGGAGTCTGGACCATTGCGCGAAATGACAAAGGGCAGGTTGGCAAGGCCTTTGATTGGTGCTCTGTCACTTCCTGTTGCAAAGAAGAGCAGCCGCTTCTTCTGTTCGTCCGAGAACGAATGAACCACCTGCCAGAAGTCGCGGATAACCTGACTGTCCTTTGAGTACCCATAATCGTATATCGTTCCCCTTTCCAGGGCCTCGAAGTCCAGGTACGGGCTTCCGCAAATGAGTTGCTCGAGCTCCTCTGGTCGGAAAAACTGCAGAACTCGGCCACCACATAGCCGCTTGAACCCTTTCATGAACGCTTGAAACGGCCATTCGATCGACTTCTCCAGGTAATACTTGGTGTACATGTCCACATATTCCTGCCTGTTCTCCTTTGTAACCATAACGTTCCCTCCGTCCTCCTTCAGGTCCACTGTCTTAATGGTACCAAACACATCCCTCACCGACACCTGGAAACTTCTGCAGAACACTGACTCTACATCCCCTTCAAAGCTGAGCAGCTGGCTCAACCCTCTTGCCAAATCCGGCGCAACCTCCACGAGATCTTCAAACGTTACGGGCTTCCCCATCAACTTCTTGTAAATGACATTCGGAAATCGGAACTCTAGTATGTGTCCATTGTAAATGGCCAGCCCTATGATGACTCCAATGAGCTCATACTCCTCCATGAACAACAAGTCCATGGAGTCGCCAGAGCTGAACCAGTACAGACGCGTTTGTTCATCGTACGTGAACATCCCGTACTTGGGGTCAAAAATGTCCCTTACTATCAACTGGAAGAACTCCTTCTGCACTCCACCCTCATCAACACCCTCCTCCCCAAGAAACTTGACCTTCAGCTTCTTTTTCAGATCTGTGGAATCTTGAATCTGTTCCAACGTGTCTTGGATGAGATGTGAACGTCTAACCGTCAGGACCAAGTATGGGCACGTGGCTTCCACAAAGATTGATTGCAGAATTGCTCCTTCAAACTCCTCGTTCATCGTCTCCTCAGACTCCATCTGGAGCAGTCGGCTCTTGCTGGATGGGTCATAAATGAAAGGGTACTTACAGAATGAGAAATTGTACCTTTCTGGATGCTTGAATCTTCGGAAATCTTCCTTGATGTTGAACTCGTCGTTGTTCACTGCGTCATTATAGAAGATTGTGTACTTTGCAATCCGACTCCTTTCGTTGGCGTTGTCCAAAAGCGCCAAAACCCTTGTCGCCATCTCTACTGCTTCATCAATTTGAAGCGCTTCATAGAGATGGATTGTAACGAATTGCTGTATCACAGCAACCATGTGCTCAAACTCCATTCGGCCAGAGCTGGCAAACGCACGTATGAGACTTTCCTGCCAAGGAGAAGGCAGCGAAGTGATGAGACGCCATATCTTGTGCAACAAGCGATGATGCTCAGGCTCCATCAACAAGGGATTCTGAAGAATGATTAGAATTGGCCTTGCAATTCGCGTACCACCGGCTGCTGACGAAGAAGATAGCGCATCAATGGCCAGGTGCATCTCCGCAAGAAGTTTGTCGATTGACAACATCAGAGCATCAACCACCTCCTGACTTTCCAATGTCAGAACCGCTTCATACAGCGCCCTCAGCGACACGAAATCCACTCCCAATGCTGGAGCGGAAACCTTCTCTGCACATTTTTTTGAACTCTCTTCTTCCGATTTCTGGATGGTGTGCTTTGGAAGGAAGCTCATGTGCAGCGCGTCCAATGAGGAGAATGTTGCATCGATGAGGTGGACAGCATCTCCCATGCCATCAGTGAGTTTCACCTTGGATAGGCAATCCAATAATGAGGTCAAGTCCGGTGGCTCTTCCACTGCCCCAGATGCGAGCTTAAACGCAAGTGCCGCCGCCTCATTAGGCACAAGGCCACGACTCTGCAAGTCCTGAAAATGTCTATAGACCGTCTTCCGGAACTCCTCTTTTGCAGCTTGAGATGAACTGTTCATTACCTCGACAGTCGACTGAACATGGCCGTCACCATCCCTTTTTGACTCTGGAAGAGATGTGGTTGCACCATCTTCAGACCACGACCCGATCGGGGAGTCGACCTCCATCGCCACCGCCGCTGCTGGCGAACGGGATTGATCATTAGGATTGGGATCCTCCTTGCTACACATTTCGTGCAATTTCCTGTGAGATAGGGCACACAATGAGGATTCTGCGACTCCTTTTTCTTCAGCAATCACCTCCAAGGTGACAAGGTCATCTTTTTTGTTCTTTTTTTTTTAAAGGTTGACGACTTTGAGATATCATCATTGAACTGACCGGCCCAGGGTAATTCAGAATGATTTTATTCCGGTCATCTGATGGCATCTGGATTCGAACTCAGGTCTGTATTTCAACAGTTCATGGATGGATGTACCAACTGAGCTATTCCTTCTTCCCCCCGAATAGAACGTACAGTCATTTCCGCTGCATCTGGACTAAAAGGTGAGCCAAATACGGCTATAATGACCGTACTTTCTATTCGGGGGAAGACGGTAATTCCGAATGATTTTATTCTGGTCATCTGGTGGCATCTGGATTCGAACTCAGGTCTGTATTTCAACAGTTCATGGATGGATGTACCAACTGAGCTACCTTCTTCCCCCCCGAATAGAACGTACGGTCATTTCCGCTGCATCTGGACTAAAAGGTGAGCCAAATACGGCTATAATGACCGTACGTTCTATTCGGGGGAAGACGGTAGGCCCATAGTAGCTGCAATCCGACCAATTTTCCCTTTTTTTCTCTCTCTAATGCACAACCCTAAGGTCTCAGTCCCTTCTACTCCTGGCAGCATCAGAATGGTTCTTCTTCCACCGCCAAGCCACCGAGATACAACATAAACACACAAGGGGTCCAAGAGCCCAAGTCCTTAAGCATCAAAAGGTACAAAAAAACACCCAAAGCAGCCACCGTGCACAACCAATCTTGAGAAAAGCCAGCACTGTGGGTACCCTCTAGCCCTCTCAAAGGGTACTTTGACTTATACGGGTGAGGGGAATCCAGCCCGGTCAGCTGGTCGACAGTGCTTACCCACTTTTAACCACAGTGACAGCTTGTTTTTTGGGGGGTTCTTTAGTTGTATCCCTTTCTTGCTAAATCACTTTATTTCATATCAAAACTTCGATGAGGCTGAGGGTCCTCACAACCTGCCTGGGGACCATTACCCAGCTGCCGTTCGAAATGCAACTCTTCAAGAAAATAATTTATGCTACGCGCAAATATCTTCCTCTAACTGCGCACTGTGCAAAAAGGGGCAGGACTATAAAAACCGTAAGCGTGCCAGAGAGGGGGAGGACTATAGAAACCATTAGAAACAGTTAAATGTTTAGAAAATTACATGCTAAATATAGGCGAGAATTAAATACTAGGGGCAAAGAGGATATCGTGGGTGAGAGACTTGCAAAGGTATACAGAGGTGCATAAAAGTACACAAGGGATGTACGAAAACGGTGGGAAAGATAGTGGAGAGTGGTATCAGAAATTGCCAGTAGTGTAGTGGGAAAGGAGAGGAGACTAGTAAAATGAGCCTTGAAATGATTCTTGCATGAGAGGATGCAAAATTGCAAATACATTGTGTGGATAATGCAAGAATCGCGCAGGTAGGGGGAAACTAGATGCAAGACCAGAGCGCGGTGAGAGTATACAGGGGAACTATAAGGTGGAATGGGTAGGGCTGGGGGGAAACGGGGGTAAGGGATTGGGAACATTACAAAAGAGGGACGGGAGTGGCCGGAGTGGGCAATGCCTGGGTACCAACGGGAGTCTCCTGATTGTTTGCAACAGCCCCCTCCCTCCCCCCGGCTTTCTTTTGTGGTCAGTTCAAACTTTGGGTCATAGTAACTTCATAGTAGTAGTTCATACTACTGTTTTCCTTTTACTTGGCGGGGAAAAGTAACCGGACTGGCACCCCCCAGAATAGAAGGGGCTGTACCGGTGTGTTAAAAAAAGAAAAGAAAAAAACTAGGGCTATCACATCTAGGTAAGCCAATTTCTCAATCCAGCATGGCCTAAAGCAGGCCATAGCTCAAGCCAGGACTTCCATGGCACTCCACAGACGCAGGATAATCGACCTCCATATTCTACTGTGAAATGAGCAACCTAATGCCCCAGTTTGGGACCCGCCAGCCATAGACACCAGAAACCTCAGAGCGTCTGATGCTGACGATGACGCTAAGCATGCCGATAAAGCCAATCCCTTGCAATGTGACAGCTAGTAACCGGCTGAGTTTCGCCCAGGTCTTCGAGGACCACCGTAAAGCTTTTACTCTTCTCCTGCCTCGTCGACTTGCTACCCTGCGTCGTCCAGTCCATGACGAAGATTCTGTGCACCATTGCTTTTGTCCGCTCGTATTGAGCTCAGTGTCTGAAATACTTCTTACTTTGAACATGCCCCTCTTCTGGTAGAACCACAACTACCTGGGAGCTGCTGAGCTCATACCCCGGGCCAAATAAACCCAACCCAAATCAGGGAACAGAAAAGGAGGGAGAACAAGAATTGCCCATTTTACATCCTACTACAACTCTCAGGGAACTCCCATTCAACTCCAGTGGTGTTGGCACCACTCCTGAACCCAAGAGGAGGTTACGCATTCCCACCACGGATCCAAGAATGTTTCCACTCTGTTCGGAGCAGCAGGAGCATTTTGCATCACAGAGGAGGAGACGATCACAACATTAACCCCTCCTAAATGTCTGGGTACACGGAGTGTCTCCCGGATAGAAGGGGCCGAGCGAATGGAAGTCTGGCTGCCATCCTCTGCGGTGCAACGATGGCTCACTGCCCTAGGCGTCTCGTACCAGGGCAGAGCTACTCGCCTTTCCTTCTCATCTGCAACATTGGTTCATGCTTGCTGGTACTAAGCAACCGGACTGTCGCCCCCCACAATAGAAGGGGCAGGAGTGTGTGTTGGGTAAAAAAATTAAAAAAAAGAATGTTTCCACCACCCTTCTGCATCTCAGAGAGATAGTTCTGACATCCATACCCCAGAGGATGAATACCTCCGCCGAGAGCGTCTCAGAATGAGCCTGGAGCCAGGTTGAAGTTGTGGCCTTGGGGGATGGAAGCTATTGGCAAGATGTCAACATCGTACAGAAGTAAGCTAAATAGAGAAGAGAACCAGATGGAAGAAAAGGCTGCAAAGACAACAGAGCTTCCGTAGGCAAAACTTGCGCCCCATTTGGTAAAAAACTGATCCACTCTCAGCTTACAACAGGGCAGCCTCCAGCCCGCCGCCCGTGTATCCAGTTTCAGCTGTCGAATGGGTGCACCTCCTGCCATTAGTCCGAAGGTGGGGCAGCCATTGAATGAGAATTCTTCAAAGACTCAAACCACCTCTGCTTCCCATGTTCCCTAAGCACAATGTCAGACTTCTCCCCTCTTCCCTGAATCGTCTATTACATCCCAACTAGCCTATCTTCATGCGTGACAGGTTCACCTGCTAAAACCTTACAAAAATCTCGACATTCTCGTCCCAAGTCAAAGGTTTGTCTGTACCACAAGCCCAAGGGATCCATTTCCCACCACCTATGTAGACTGTCCCACGAATCCTCGACTCTGAGTTTCTGAAAGCTCCTCCCTATAAGCTCCCGAAATGACCTCCGTTGCCACCCATGGGGAAGATGTTGCCCAGTTGGTCCATGATCCCTGGGCTATACAAGTGAAGCTCTGAGAATACTTCCTCCCTTTACCCTGGCTCCGAGCAGATGCTCAGTTTCATTTTTCACCAAGCTTTGCAGATGCCATCCCATACGGGGGACTCAGGCCACCTCCAAGTGCAGGAGTCCATGAACAGAACTGCCCAAATGACCCCCCCCTTTACAAGAACCATACCCCCCTCCACCGCAGGTTTCCAAAGGAACGTTGTGGCATTGCCTCTGCGTTTTCTACCCAGCAACCTCACTCGCACTTAGTACAACAGCTGTGAGAAGACCGAGTCAGTGAGGATCAGAGCATGTCGAAAGAGGGCTAGGTGAAAAGGTCTTCCTCCACTGGGCGAGACTGGCATCCATATATTCTGCCAGTATGTTCCCCAATACGTTAGCGCAGTTTCTTAGGAAGATCTGAATGCCAAAGAACCGCTCAGTCGGGTCCTCAGGGATCTGCTTCATGCCCCAGTGAATGCAGAGGGAGAAATGGTCAGGTAAGAAATACGCAGACTTGGTCCAGTTGACATGGGCTTCAGGTAGCTAGGTAGGTGTCCACGATGGCCTTCAATGCAGACAAGCAAACAATTGTGTTTCTGGAAAATACAGTAAGCTCATCACCCACCACATCACTTAAAACTAGGCATCCCCCTTGGACCCCAAAACCATGATGTACGGATGGTCCCGGATATTATCGAGGAGCACATCCATCTGCAGTATAACAGCCAGGGTCACGCAGGCAGCCCTGCCGCGGCAAACATAAGAGGCAGCAAGGGGCTGGAATTTACCCTTTAACAATGCCTGTTGAAGTGCCAGAAGCTCATAGAGATTTGACCATGTGGCAAAATTGAGACCTATCCCGACATCGGACAAGGTGGCCAACACCAGGTGGAGTTGACCCTGTCATAGGCCTTTTCTAGGTCTAGCAGGAGAACACCCACACCACTTTCACTTCTGCCTGGACCTCTACTGCTTCCAACTTTCCACAACATGAATTATGATAGGCCTCCCCTGCATGAAAGCTCCGTGATCAATGCCAATCGAAAAGGGTAGATATCAAGGCAGACAACTACCCTAGGTTTTAGTTAAGGTCTTTTACTAGACATTCAACAAGGAGATAGCCCTCCAGTCGTAAGATTCTCCCTATCCCCTTTTACCAAAGAGCTATAACCCCCTAGTCATCTCTGCAATGAACGGACTCTTGAGAAGCTAACAATGTCAGCACCATGCATGAATTTATCACACACACAGTGTTGTCTCAAAAATGTAGCACCAAGTAGATAGACAAAGACAAGGGAAGAGTTTGAGGAATAGTAAAATGCTTACAACACTTCGGTTTCTCCATCCCCCTTCTCCTCCGGGTCTCTCCCTCTCTGTACTTGCCACCCAACCTAACCCTCTACTATTGAAGCCAGTGTCATCACCCCCAGCAGAATTCTCTCGCCAATATACTAGATCAACCTCCAGAACGAAAAAGGCAGCTGATATGGAGGTTGGCACTCAGACGAGAACTGCCGGTCTTGTGAAGCAAGTTGCTGTCTCATCACCAGCACCACGTACGTCAGGTAAACTTCTCTCTCTCTCTCTCTCTCTCTCTCTCTCTCTCTCTCTCTCTCTCTCTCTCTCTCTCTCTCTCTCTCTCTCTCTCTCTCTCTCTACACACACACACAGGTATGGTCACCCTCAACCTCGCTACATCTGGGCTATGGTGAAGGGCGCCTCTACTCTAGATATGGCTACTGGCGCTCACTCTCTCTCTCGCCAGAGCGAAGAAGGCAGCTGATATGGAGGTTGGGCTTCAGAGCAGAACTGCCGGTCTCATGAAGCAAGTTGCTGTCTCATCATCATCAGCATCACCATGTAAGTCAGGTAAACCTCTCTTCTCTCTCTGTCTCCCTCTACACAGGTATGATCACCATCAACCTCACTCCCTCTCCCTACATCTAGGCTATGGTGAAGAGCGGCTCTACTCTAGCTATGGCTACTGGCGCTCACTCTCTCTCTCTCGCCAGAACGAAGAAGGCAGCTGATATGGAGGTTGGTGCTCATATGAGAACTATCGTCTCATGAAGCAAGTTCCCGTCTCATCATCACCAGCATCACCACATAAGTCAGGTAAACCTCTCTCTCTCTCTCTCTCTCTCTCTCTCTCTCTCTCTCTCTCTCTCTCTCTCTCTCTCTCTCTCTCTCTCTCTCTCTCTCTCTCTCTCCACACACAGGTATGATCACCCTCAATCTCACTCCCCCTCCATACATCTACGCTATGGTGAACGGCGCCTCTACTCTAGCTATGGCAACTGGCGCTCAATCTCTCTCGCCAGCACTCTGTCTGTGCCTCCTCCAGCGTTAGCGCTCGAGCATCAAGCCGCACGAGGCAGGAATGAATGACCACCTGGGGCAGGCTGCTCTTTTGTGAGTTGACTCAGCCTGGCCTGCCTCCTCTTGCCCCCTCGGTTGACTGAGATTTCTCAATGTGGGCCATTGTGTGCCTGGACCAAGTGGACCTTGCAAACTTCTGGAAAATGCACTGCGCCACTGGACGTGCGTGGCATCTGTGGGCATCGTTGACTCCCAAGAAATCGATTACTCTTTCTCTATTGTGCCCAAGTTGCATCTCACTGTTGACTTCCTAAAGTCTATTACTGGTTCTCGGGTCTACAAGGAGTCTCTTTAGACCCTTGACCAGTCGCACTCTACAGATTGGTGTAAAGTATGGTTAAAATGACCCTTTGGTTTTCTTATAAATGAGGGTGAAAATTGGGGGGTCGGTTAACCTTCTCTCTAACCAGATCCTTTTGACTCAAGGACTTTATGGTGCCCGTTCCAGGGCTGTGGATGTGACTTGTGTGCCCAGAACTGACTGGATCAGACTTACGACCCTAGACTGTCTCTGTGCGGATTCCAAACTTGGGTCTCTGTTAACAGGCGTGCACCAGAAAGAAGTTCGTAATATACCTGAACTAAATCCGGACCCGGCTCAGGCCAAAATGTTTCATAGTATTTCATACTAGATTCATAGGAATCGAGTGGCAGACCATTGCAATGAATTTGCAGTTTCCCTAGCGATTTGTACACTAACAGCCTAGTAACAGGGATAGTTTTGTAATTTTCTGAATTTTGGGGCCCGCACCTGCAAAAAGTAACGATTGGGGCCCAGCCCTGTGCTGTCTTCCAAAGAGTGGTAGGTCTACAGGTCCGGTAGGCTGTAGGGAGTAGATATAGCAGTAGGTTGAGGGTCTGCGTTTTTTTTTTGTGGGTGTCCAATTTCTCTTTTTTAATATTAAACCACCACCAGCTCCGATCCTGGTTTTGCCAACCCTGAATTTCACTGCGCACCAAGTGTTGCCGAGCCAAGGTCCAATTGTATTTTCTTTCCTGGTACTCACAGTTTTTGCACCCAGAAAAGGGGCGGGGAGGAGAAAAAAAAAGAAGAAGAAGACTATGAAAATAAGAAACTTCCTTAACGCTGTCATAGCCATCAGATACATTCTACGAGGTGCTAGTGAGACTGTGCCCTCAGTCAGGGCGTCTGTCTCGTGAAGAGGAAATGAATAACAAAAATAATAAAATCCTTATGCTGTGATCCCGGTCCGATAAAGGAAGCTACAGTACCAGTGTGAGTACGAGTTCAGTGAGGCAGTTTGTAGCCCTGTGTGGAATCCGCCCTGCCTCACTGGCAGGGCACGAAAAGGACACAAGAAAAACAAAAAGAAAAAGAAAAAACACAGCAATCACCTTCCACACATACTGGCCATATACATTCTATGAGGTGCCAGTGAGACTGTGCCCCGTGAAGAAGAACTGAAGAATATATATATATATAGACGAAACAGTTTGTCACAGCCCCTCGTTTGTTGTCCTCTTCTCCCTCTCTGCCTACGGTTTACCGGGCAGTTCTATTTGACGATATATATATATATATATATATATATATCGTC